ACATCACCGGAGAAGGAGTTGGTGCATCGTCCGGACCGCGGCGAGCTCGGCATCAGACCCTTGCTTGGCATGCAACGACATGGGTGTTTTTTTTCCTTTTAGATTTTCTTTAGAAAGCCTTCGAGTTTGGTTTCGGGCGACAAGGCGGCGACGTTGTTTCAGTGTAGGAATAATGTCTCCCCGCTCTTTCCCCGCTTTGTTGGTGTGCCTATCGCCGACAGAGGACATGTGGAGCCATGTCTATGGTGGGTGTTTCGTGATCCGATCGATTTATGTTTTCGGTGGATCAGTCAAGATTCGGTTGGCTTCCGTGGTCTTCGGAGCTTCTTCAGACCCTTATTGGTGTTTCTTCTCCAGGGTCGTCGTTGCTTTGCAGATTGTGGCTGCCGGTGTCTCCTGGTCTGCATCGACGACTTTTCCGTCTGCTTCTTCTACAAGCTCCTGGGTTTAAAAAGTTTGCTTCACCAAGGAGGCTGCCCAAAGGTCTTTTGGTCTACACATCGATGACTTTTCGGCCGCTGCTTCTACAAGCTTCTGGGTTTAAAAATGTTTGCTCTGCCAAGGCAGTGGCTTAGAGGTGGCATCGAGCTATGCTTACGACACACTGCCAATGGATGCAGAAGGAGGAAGACTTTGGCACCCCAAGAATATGAATGTATTTTTATTTTTTGTATGAATGTGTTTGTAAGGACATGTGATGCATAATATATGGCCATAGGTCCTTTCACAAAAAAATCGTCTAAAAGCCGAGACGAACCTAGAATAGAACAACCATGTCAGTTGATGCCAATGAAAGATGAGAAATCCTTCACAATATTAGGCTGGCGTTTGGGAGAGCTCTACTCCACCTATAAACTATGGGAGTTTGGAATAAATTGTTTGGGGCATAAGTAACTCTAGCTTCAGATATATGGAATGATAATTGGGCTCCTCCGAGTCCAAATTTGGTGGTGAGAAGACCTCGAGGAGGTATAATGCTGCAAAAATGTTTCAGATCTCATTCATCCAATGACAAGCAATTTGGACGAGGATTTTTTTCGCTCTGTTTTTTGACCGGTTGATGCCGAAGCTATACTATCTATTCACCTTGTCACAGATAAAGAAGATTCCGTTGCCTGGCACAATTCTAGGGATGGGTATTTCTCAGTCAAATCATCTTACTTTGGTGAATGGGAGCACAAATACATTACCCTTGCAACTACTTTGCATATTGTCGGAAGCATGGTAAATAAGATACGGTATGTACTATGAAAATCAAATGTTCCAACAGAAGTAAAGATCTTCGGACGACGAGCTCTTCATGGCATTGTTCCTTATTTGGGAATCTTGGCGAGTGGACATATTAAAACAAGTGGACAATGTCCTCTGTGCAAAGTGGGCTATGAAGATTTGAAACACACGGTCTGTCAATATAAAAGAGCAAGTCAAGTGTGGAAGGAACTGAAGGAAATATGCCCTAGAGGCAATAATAAAGTTGTTATTTATATTTTCTTATATCATGATAAATGTTTATTATTCATGCTAGAATTGTATTAACCGGAAACTTAGTACATCTGTGAATACATAGACAAACAAAGTGTCCCTAGTATGCCTCTACTTGACTAGCTCGTTAATCAAAGATGATTAAGTTTCCTAGCCATAGACATGTGTTGTCATTTGATGAACGAGATCACATCATTAGAGAATGATGTGATGGACAAGACCCATCCGTAAGCTTAGCACTATGATCGTTTAGTTTATTGCTATTGCTTTCTTCATGACTTATACATGCTCCTATGACTATGAGATTATGCAACTCCCGAATACCGGAGGAACACTTAGTGTGCTATCAAACGTCATAACGTAACTGGGTGATTATAAAGATGCTCTACAAGTGTCTCCGATGGTGTTTTTTTGAGTTGGCATAGATCGAGATTAGGATTTGTCACTCCGTGTTTCGGAGAGGTATCTCTAGGCCCTCTCGGTAATGCACATCACTATAAGCCTTGCAAGCAATGTGACTAATGAGTTAGTTACGGGATGATGCATTACGAAACGAGTAAAGAGACTTGCCGGTAACGAGATTGAACTAGGTATGATGATACCGACGATCGAATCTCGGGCAAGTAACATACCGACGACAAAGGGAACAACGTATGTTGTTATGCAGTTTGAACGATAAAGATCTTCGTAGAATATATAGAAACCAATATGAGCATCCAGGTTCCGCTTTGGTTATTGACTGGAGATGTGTCTCGGTCATGTCTACATAGTTCTCGAACCCGTAGGGTCCGCACGCTTAACATTCGATGACGATTTGTATTATGAGTTATGTGATTTGATGTACCGAAGTTTGTTCGCAGTCCCAGATGAGATCACAGACATGACGAGGAGTCTCGAAATGGTCGAGACATAAATATTGATATATTGGAAGGTTATGTTTGGATACCAGAATGGTTTCGGATAGGTTCGGGCATTTTCCAGAGTACTGGGCGGTTACCGGAACCCCCCCGGGGGTTAATGGGCCTTCATGGGCCCTAGTGGAAGAGAGGAGGCGACGGCCAGGTGGAGGTGTGCACCCCCCCCAAGCCCAAGCCGTATTGGACTAGGGTTGGGGGGGCTTTCCTTCTTCTCCTCCCTCTCTTCCCCCCTTCTCCTTCTTGGAATAGGAAAGGGGGGATCCTACTTGGACCGGGAGTCCAAGTAGGACTCCCCACCTTGGTGTGCCACACCTTGGCCGGCCTCCTCCTCCCCCCTCCTTTATATACATGGGAGGGGGCACCCCAAAGACACATCAAAGTTTCTCTTAGCCGTGTGCGGTGCCCCCCTCTACAGTTACTCACCTCGGTCATATCGTTGTAGTGCTTAGGCGAAGCCCTGCACCGGTAAACTTCATCATCACCGTCGCCACGCCGTTGTGCTGACGGAACTCTCCCTTGGCCTCAACTGGATCAAGAGTTCGAGGGACGTCATTGAGCTGAACGTGTGCTGATCGCGGAGGTGCCGTACGTTCGGTACTTGGATCGATTGGATCGCGAAGACGTTCGACTACATCAACCGTGTTACTAAACGCTTCCGCTTTCGGTCTACGAGGGTACGTGGACACACTCTCCCCGCTCGTTTCTATGCTTTTCCTAGATAGATCTTGCATGATCGTAGGAATTTTTTTGAAATACTACGTTCCCCAACAGAAACTAGGCTTAAAGGATCTGGTGGATAAACCCCCTCTTTCTTGATCGCTTGGGATCGATGGTGCTAGATGAGATGATTGGAACAAACCAATACTCAGTCTTAGTTCCCGAAATACAAATATTTGATCTTGTTTTTACCGCAAGCTGGTTTTTGTGGTGGCAGCGGAGACAAGTAACACATGGAGAGCAAATACCATAAATCGGTAGATCGATGATGCCGATTTTTGCTCTAGCTCTGAACTTCACAAGGGCAGATAAAAATGCCAGTTTCTACCCGTCGTCCTCCTTAAGGGGTTTATGTAGTCAATGTGGATGCAGCCTTTAATCCCGATACAAAACAAGGTTTGCATGGATTGTTATTAGGGATACCACGGGTGGTTTTGTTGTTGTGAGAAGTTTCTAAATCGACAATATAGTTGTTTTAATGGATGAAGGAATGGCAACTAGAGATGGATTATGGTTCGCTGAACATATAGGCCTAAATAGGATTATTATTCAGTCAGATAATAAGGTGGTAGTTCAAAATATGAATGGAGGAGGGTTTTCTGCAACATCCAGCCCGTCAATTTTCCACCATTACAATCTAAGGGCGAGTAGTTTTGATGAAGTGAAGTTTGTGCACTCTCCAAGGGAAACCAATACGGTGGCGCATGAGGTAGCTAGGTCAGTGTCTTTACTTTCTGAAGCTTGTACCTGGGTCGATGAACCCCCTAATTTTCTCTTGCCCTGGCTCGTATCCGATGTATCTTTGATTCACAATAAATAAAATGCACCAGATGGCTTTCCCTAAAAAAACTCCAGCTTAAGATAGTGAGTAGGTTGATGTGAAAAGACCAAAATACATTAGATCTTGTTTTGATCTATCCAGGTCTATCCCCGTGTTAACTTCAATTTTTTTTTCCAGTAACCATAAATTAACAAACCACTGCTTGACATGAGCACCTAGTTATCTAGAAAACAATCAACATAATAATGGAGTAACAAACCGATTCATTTTATCCTTCTCAACAAACAAGATCCTTCTCAGCCAATAATTTGTTTGACACAGCAGATCTTTTTTTCTGGCGGGGGACACAACGGATCTGATGAGCTTGAAGTTGCAATTTGCTCCAAGTCGTTTGAAATGAACTACAATTTCAGAAGGAGAAGAAAACTTCTTCAAAATAGGTCATATCAGTTCCACACATGTGTGAGATAGGCATGCGTCTCAGAGAAATTTGCAGCCACAATCATCTGGTATGAGCTTGGACATCAAGAGAACTTGCACCCGCACTCAAACACAAATTATCATCACAGCTGAGGGGACAAACAGAGCAGTGCAAACTATCATCGCACTTGAATCCGCAACTCAACCAGAGGAACAAGCACCGGTGGAAGGTGACCCCAGTAATTGTCGTCTAGCTTTCGTCCCTGTTTGAAAGAGACGAGTTAACAAAACATTTCCCCACTGAGCACTTGTTCGGTTAATTCTCTCCCCAAGAGAATTGGAGGGGATTGGCGAGAATTAAGATGTATTTTGACTTACAAGGGTTTTAAATCCTCCTTAAAACCCCTTCAATCCCCACGGATCCACACTCAACCGAACAAGGCCTGATGAAGAGCCACACATTACTGGGTGGAACGGCTGGCTTTCTATGGTGTACAAAAATGTCAGATGGCATTGTACATAGTGAATGTCGTCAGGTACGTGGGACTGTGTACATTTTTTTGAGGTATACGTGGGACTATATACATGTGCTCCATCCACGCACAAACACGTACTATGACTAATGGGAGGTATATCGATATATCTTTTTCAGCAATTTACCTATAATGGTATAACTATCTATCTCAAATACAATTCACGCTTTTCAAAGTAGTAAATGCCACAATTCTACCAAAGGCTACACTGAATTTCTCTGCAGATTCATTCACATCCTCTCCTGTGGGAAACCAGGAGCGGACAGGTGACAATTCTTCTGCAGGTGCAGTAGCACATCCTTGGCTTCCACAACCGATGATTTCCTGTGCTTTGCAAGCCTGCACGCAAAATCAGCCGCTGTGTTAATGAAGTCGTCGGCAATCTCCAGAATCAAATCTTCCACCTCTGGATCAACCTCGCAGAGTGGATCCACCTGCGCCACCAAATCATGTATCTTTCTCTTCCCAAGAAGTTGGCTGCAATTTCCCCCTCCTTGATGCGGCGCATTTGCACCCGCCGCGGTTCCGCCTGAGGAAGGTGTCGCCGGCTGCGATCCTGCCATGTTTGCGGGCTTCCCTGCGGATGATGCTGGCATCCTTGGAGATGCTTGCTGTTGTTGCCGTTGCTGCTGGTTCAGATGTTGGGCATTAAGATGGGGAAGTCGCTGTAGCGCCTGCGCAATCTGCTGGCGATTCAATCCTCTCTGCTGAAGTTGTTGTATCAGTTGCATCATTTGTTCTTGCTGGCGTTGATGTGGAGAAGCAGGCGAGGCCATTGCCGATTGCATCTGATGCGTTGGTAACATCTGCACCACAGGACCATTTTGTGATGATCCAGGTTGCTGCTGTGGCCTCATTTGTGCATGATAGGCAGAACGTTGCTGAGTTTGAGCACCATATGGGGTAGTAATTCCATTAGGCCTCATCTGGTTCATCAGGGAAGCACCCATGGACTGCGCTTGTGCAGTGGGAGTGTTGAATTGCACGCCTTGTACCACGCCCCTCTGCCCTGGCTGCGCTATCATCGTTGGCTGGAACTGGAGCTCGTACTGCGCCGCGGAGGCTGCGTTGCCCTGCCCTTGAAGCATCCTCGGCTGCCCCTGCCCAAACATGGCCGCGCGCAGCCCCGGCTGCTGGCGCAACTGCCCCCCGCCGCCCGGGAAGGTCATCTGCGTGGCATATGTCGTGCCGGCTGTCGCGTACCGTGGAGGCTGGCCGACGGCGGGGGCGAGGGGGGCCTGGCCCGAGCGGTGGATCGCACCGAATCCTCCGGCGCCTTCAGCCGCCTGCGCGCGAGAAGGCGCCTGCAGCTGCGGCGGGAGGTCCGTGGATCTGCCTCCCGTAACAGCCGACGCCGGGTTGACCTGCACGGAGGAAACGATGGGGGGCGGGGGGATTTGGGGGTTGGAGTTCGGCGGGATGGAATCAGAGGCGGCGAGCTGGTCGGGCTGCTGCGATGCGGGGGAGGCTAGGGATGGCGGATCAGCCATGGCGGGGCCGGTTGTAGGGTTCCGGCAGCGGCGATCGGAGACGACGCGGGGTGGACGGTCTGCGTGATTGCGATGGGTCGTGTTGATGTGTTCCTTTTGACCATCACGCAGAGACCGGTAGTCTCATAACCGCGAAACTTATTACCATGTTAAAAAAAACCGCTAAACATGAATCCTGACTGGCACGATATTGTCTTTTCCCCCTCCTTATATATGATTTGTTTTTTGAACACATTAACTCCTTATACTAGATGATGCCCCGTGCCTGGGAATTTGTAGCGCCGTGAAGAAGAATGATTTATGGAGTGAGAAAATAATGTAACCATTAAAGGAATATAAAATATGTGTTAATTTCAATCCTTGATGGAATGGAATAATGCAAACTGTAGAAAATTAGTACATTGTAGTCGATAAAGCATTGCTAATGTGTAGACTGGTAGAATGCTTATATATATTGCAAAATATCAATTTGAGATGTTTAAGTTCAGCGGGGTATCTCAAAAATACACATTTAGTTTGAGTGGTCTAAGATTTAGCCACCATATTAATTCAAGAGAGGAACAACAAATAAAAGTATTTAGAAAATGAGAGAGGGAGAGAGAGAGAGAGAGAGAGAGAGAGAGAGAGAGAGAACTTCTATAATGTTGGTATTAACCTTGGTGTGTGGCCCATGAGTCCTCATTCTCCAATTTCTTTGTGCTACTGTTTGCCTTAAAAATGCTGGCATTACCCTTGGTGTGTTGCCCATGAGTCCTCATTGTCCAATTTCTTGGTGCTACTGTTTGCCTTAAACGGTCATGGCGAAGCGGCCACAACACTTTGCTCCCGTTGCTTCTACAACAAATATAATCTAAGTTTTTTGAAAAAACTTTGTTTTTGCCACTCTAGCTTTTGCCAATTTTTTTCTTATGCCATTCTAGAATTTGACTTCCCACGTTTGTCACTCTTAGCTTTTGACAATACATCACTTTTGCCATTCCGTGGCAAAAGCAAAATTTTCAGAGTGGCAATTGTGATACATTGTCAAAAGCTAAGAGTGACAAATGTGAAATGAAAAATTATCATTTTTGCCATGGAATGGCAAAAGTGATGTATTGTTAATTCTAGAGTGGCATAAGCAAAATTGGTAAAAGTAAGAGTGGCAAAAACAAAGTTTTTTCAAGTTTTTTGGGACGCCCGAGGGGAGGGGGGGGGGGTATCTAAAAAATATCAGTTTAATTTGAATGGTCTAAGATTTAGCTATCGTAATAATCCAAGAGAGAAAAGCATAAAAATAGAAAATGAGATAGGGAGAGAGAGACCTCTTATAATGTTGGTCATTCTCCAATTTCTTCGTGCTAATGTCGGGCTACTGTGATGCTGCGGCAGCCATGACACTTTGCTTGTGTTGCTTCTACATTAAACAAATTTCTGCTTCCATCCATTGCAAATGCTAATTCCCGGGCATGCTCCTGTACTAAAATTGCACCAGATTTACATCACACACGTGCACCTCAACGTAGACCTCTCTGAGCTATAGCTCACGTTCTTCATCATGAATTCATGATAAGGTTCCATGACTCACACGGCGGCCATACCAATATCCCCACACTGTTTCTCTTATCAGTCCAGGGTCTCTGGAAACGGAAGATGAAAGGCGAGGACGTAAAACTAATTAGTCCTTATATCTTGAAAATCCAGATGTGTAAAATTTCGTAGCAGACTATGTAAATTACATCACCACTGAAGCATAACTGATTGCATAGAGTAGTGTCTGTGTGATCTAAGCTCAATGAATTGCACATAGTATTAGCCAGATAGGTACAAATTTAATATCCACCCTCATCTAAGGACGGCGAATTGGACGGATTGTTTGTTGGATTGGTCAAACCTAAACGACTTTACTTGCTGCTAAAGTTCCCTACTGTTTAGAGATAAAAAAAACTCTGATGTCTGATGAGGTAAATAACTTACACGTACCTCTGAAGTAGAAAAAGTTTTTTTTTGGGGGGGGGGAGTAGAAATTGATAGGAAGCTCGAGTCTCCTCGTGTGATCTGATACAACACAGACGGGCCTCGAAGAAGAAACACAGTCGGGAGCGAGAAGAAGCCAAAGGTGTTGGGACGGGACAAAATCCCCGCTGGGCTCTCCTTAGGCAAGGGTCGCTGCCCGCTGGTCCTTCTCTCGGCCGCCCGACTATGCATATCGAGGCCTCACCCAGTCGCCTGACCCTCCATGCCACACCTTCGGATTGCTGGCTGCCGAGGCTGACGCCGTCCGTCGCCCTGGAATCCGCGTGTTGAAACACTTCGATCCTTGCCCGTGAATACTGTCGTTTCCTTTCCTTTACAAAATTCATTAATTTCTCGAGAGCATGGACGATGGGGAGATTACCTTACCTTGACCAGGACCATAGGACATAGGAGTACAAAGGAAGTGACCTGGGGGAGCATGTGAGGGGGATCGGGGGGCTGTATGTAGATTACCACCTGGAGACGAATCGATGCTAGACAACTGAAAGAATTAGTGATTATGCGACTGGTGGGTTAGAGAAGGCGGAAAACAAAACAATCCTTTGGCTTCAATGACTGTCTAGGAAAGAGAAACAGACTTGTACATTGGTAACGGTGAAGGAAATATGCCCTAGAGGCAATAATAAAGTTATTATTTATTTCCTTATTTCATGATAAATGTTTATTATTCATGCTAGAATTGTATTAACCGGAAACATAATACATGTGTGAATACATAGACAAACAGAGTGTCACTAGTATGTCTCTACTTGACTAGCTCGTTAATCAAAGATGATTATGTTTCCTAACCATAGACATGAGTTGTCATTTGATAAACGGGATCACATCATTAGGAGAATGATGTGATTGACTTGACCCATTCCGTTAGCTTAGCACTTGATCATTTTAGTTTACTACTATTGCTTTCTTCATGACTTATACATGTTCCTATGACTATGAGATTATGCAACTCCCGATTACCGGAGGAACACTTTGTGTGCTACCAAACATCACAACGTAACTGGGTGATTATAAAGGTGCTCTACAGGTGTCTCTGATGGTACTTGTTGAGTTGGCAAAGATCGAGATTAGGATTTGTCACTCCCATTGTCGGAGAGGTATCTCTGGGCCCTCTCGGTAATGCACATCACTATAAGCCTTGCAAGCAATGCAACTAATGAGTTAGTTGCGGGATGATGCATTACAGAAATGAGTAAAGAGACTTGCTGGTAACGAGATTGAACTAGGTATTGAGATACCGACGATCGAATCTCGAGCAAGTAACATACCGATGACAAAGAGAACAACGTATGTTGTTACGCGGTTTGACCGATAAAGATCTTCGTAGAATATGTAGGAGTCAATAGGAACATCCAGGTTCCGCTATTGGTTATTGACCGAAGACGCGTCTCGGTCATGTCTACATAGTTCTCGAATCTGTAGGGTCCGCACGCTTAACGTTCGGTGACGATTGGTATTATGAGTTTATGTGATTTGATGTACCTAAGGTAGTTTGGAGTCTCGGATGAGATCGGGGACATGACGAGGAGTCTCGAAACGGTCAAGACATAAAGATCGATATATTGGACGACTATATTCGGACATCGGAAAGGTTCCGAGTGATTCAGATATTTTTTGGAGTACCGGGGAGTTACGGGAATACGGGGAAGAAGTATTAGGCCTCATGGCCCAAGTGGTGGAAGAGAGGAGGCAGGGCGCGCGGCCCCCTAGCCCAAACCGAATTGGACTAGGGGGAGGCCCCCTTTCCTCCTTTCATCCCTCTCCTTCCTTCTCCCTCTCCTCCTTCCTTTCCCCCTTCTAGTAGGAGTAGGAAAGGGGAGTCCTACTCCTACTAGGAGGAGGACTCCTCCTCCCAGCGCGCCCTAGAAGGGCCGGCCGGCCTCCCCCTTGCTCCTTTATATACGGGGGAAGGGGGCACCCTAGGACACACAAGTTGATTGTTCCAAGCCATGTGCGGTGCCCCCCTCCACCATAATCCACCTTGATCATATCATAGTGGTGCTTAGGCGAAGCCCTGTGTTGGTAGCAACATCATCCCCGTCATCTTGTCGTCGTGCTAACGGAACTCTCCCGTGAAGCTCTGCTGGATCGGAGTTCGTGGGACGTCATCGAGCTGAACATGTGCTGAACTCGGAGGTGCCATGCGTTCGGTACTTGGATCGGTCGGATCGTGAAGACGTTCGACTACATCAACCGCGTTCTCATAACGCTTCCGCTTACGGTCTATGAGGGTACATGGACGATACTCTTCCTTCTCGTTGCTATGCATCACCATGATCTTGCGTGTGCGTAGGAATTTTTTTTGAAATTACTACGTTCCCCAACAGTGGCATCCGAGCTAGGTTTATGCGTAGATGTTATATGCACGAGTAGAACACAAGTGAGTTGTGGGCGATACAAGTCATACTGCTTACCAGCATGTCACACTTTGGTTCGGCGGTATTGTTGGATGAAGCGGCCCGGACTGACATTACGCGTACGCTTACGCGAGACTGGTTCTACCGACGTGCTTCGCACACAGGTGGCTGGCGGGTGTCAGTTTCTCCAACTTTAGTTGAACCGAGTGTGACTATGCCCGGTCCTTGTTGAAGGTTGAAACAACACAAACTTGACGAAATATCGTTTTTTTCGGTTCAGCCTATGGATTTGATTCCCCTTTAATCCGGAGAAGTATGCCCGGTTTATTTTTATTTTTTCCTGTTAACATCATGGAGTAACAAGGGGGTTTATATTGACCCAGTGCGGTCTATACGGGAGCTGTTTTCTCCCCCCTTGTTGACGGTAATGGTTTATAAAACCTCCGCTTCAAAGCTTGGCTAAACCAGCTTCATGCCAAGACATGGCAGGAAATATGAATGGAGATTTTTTTGAACAAAAGCTTCAGTACTTATGCACGAAGGCATATTGAAGATAGAAGTATTAACTATCCTATTACAAGGCATCACGGTGCCCGAATAAAGATCATTTGTTATTTTGGAAAGATTCCA